AGTTTTGGCTGCGTTGGGTCTATGTTGCTGCGTGTGGGCTTTCTCTAGTTGTGGCGAGCGGGGGCTACTCTTCGTTGCGGTGCGTGGGCTTCTCGTGGCGGTGGCTTCTCTTGTGGAGCATGGGCTCTAGGTGTGTGGGCTTCAGTAGTTGTGGCACGTGGGCTCAGTAGTTGTGGCACATGGGCTCAGTAGTTGTGGCTCGTGGGCTCTAGAGCGCAGGCTCAGTAGTTGTGGCGCACGGGCTTAGTTGCTCTGCAGCATGTGGGATCTTCCTGGACCAGGGATCGAACCCTTTGTCCCCTGTGTTGGCAGGTGGATTCTTAACCACTGTGCCACCAGGGAAGTCCCTATTCTAGATTCTTTTGTAGGTATATTTTTATTTTTTCTAAACCAGGTTCATTCTATATATTATGAAAATCAAAATCTGTCCCTGTAGTCTATTATGTGTCCATAGCACAGTTAACATAAATAACCTAAGATCCTGAAAGCTTAAGAAAAGTTAAGTAGACTACTTTAACTGATAAAGTCAGGCTCATGTGTACTACTCTCTTAATTGTCACATAAAAGCCTGCCGATTAGGAACTGATGAACCTGAAACTTCACACTTTCTTCTGCTTTGATGTTGTTATTTGCCTGAAATAACATGTCTGTAACTGGGTGCTTGTGCATATTGCTTATCTGTTTCAGACAAGCATAGACATGTGTTTGTTCTCTCTGGAAGAGTGTGGATAATAGTCAACTCTTTGGCAGAAATATACAAAAAACCAATTTTGATTGTGTAGACATTAGAGGTGGCGCTCAACTGGTTACGAGCTTGAAATATTTATTAAAACAGGCTTTAGAATGTTGTTGGATTCCCAGGCTGTTCTTTCAAATGAATAAATGTTCTTTAATCTATTCCCTTTTTTCACTGCATATTAAAAACCAGGGATATAGAAGTGAAAAGACAAGTCTCTTGCCAGCAAGAAACTTGAAATCAAATGGTGACACTACCATGCAAACAAACGATTGTAATATAAGACATGACTTGGTAAACTTTATCCATGAAAAAAATAAAATGAGAGTAGATAAAGGTGTTTCTAAACCTGTATTGGAGAGATGAGAATGTAAGGAAAGGGGTGCTTTAAGTAGTTTCTTTGGTTGATAATACAGCTAACCTAGATCTAGGAGTGTTAAGATACCTAATTTGCCCTTAAAACAATGTTTCTATGGAAAATGTATTTCTAAGCCTAGCCACTGAGTCCAGAACATACCTCTACCAACTCCTCTCACCAGAGGCAAGGCTGCCGTACTTTCCCCCTTCATTTCCCTGTGTTTTGATGTTGAGACAGGCTCTCTCAGAAGACGATGTGTTTGGAGCTGGTCCTTTTGAAAGGGAGCATTTTTGTGGCAGTGGGAATCTACGGGTTTTGTAAAGAGGAAATGTTTTTTTAAACTGTACTGCAATTATGTTCTTTTCTTAATGCTGCCAAATACTTGAGTGGTATGTCATACAGTGTGCCTTTTATCTAAAGCCTTAAGCTTATCATAATAAAAACTAGTATGACGGAATGTTGTGTTTGTGAAATATGTGGCATGCTCTCTAAAACTCTAAATTATTTCCTGAAGTATTTTTTTCCCATTTGTACAGTATCGTCCTTACAATCCCAGTCTTCTTCGAAGGATGTCCAATTGGCAGAATGTAATTTGGTGGTCTTTGGGGCTTTAACATTGATTTCCATGGACTTTTCCCAGCTAAATTGCATATTTTATTTACCACTCTTAGGATTGATATAAAACTTTTCCCATTTATTTTTATTAATGATTTAGAGAAAAACTGTGAATATGAAATATGAATGTCTTGGGCTTTAAAAAATTCACTAGTTTTATTTTAAATATTCTAATATGCCTAAAAATAAGACAGGTAGCTAAAACTAATTAAACAGCAACCTCATTGTTTACAAGGCTTCCAATGTGAATGAAGTTTAGCAATATCATTTTGTTCCATTAATCAGACACTAATGAGTTTTGGAGACTGTCATAATTGGTCAGTAAATTTCCTACCGTGTAACTAAAAATTTTCCTGTTTATCACCAGATCCTAGAACCCTATCGATATTGTCTCTGCTGTGTAAATAGTTCTGAGTAGTGCAATATTGCTTATAGGGTTTTGGTGTTTGGGAAGAACAATGGGCAGGTTGCAGAAATGATGCAGCTGAAACTGAAGCAACAGTCATCTTTGTTTAGGAAGAAAACAAATAGTAGAAGCTACTTTTCAATACATACATTAAAATCTGAAACTCAAAGGTCAAATTTTTTTTTTTTTAATTTATTTTTGGCTGCGTTGGGTCTTCATTGCTGCGCGCGGGCTTTCTCTAGCTGCGGCCAGTGGGGGCTACTCTTTGTTGCGGTGCACAGGCTTCTCATTGCGGTGGCTTCTCTTGTTGCAGAGCACGGGCTCGAGGCACGCAGCTTCAGTAGTTGTGGCACGCGGGCTTCAGTAGTTGTGGCATGCGGGCTTCAGTAGTTGTGGCTCGCAGGCCCTAGAGCGCAGGCTCAGTAGTTGTGGCGCACGGGCTTAGTTGCTCTGAGGCATGTGAGATCTTCCCAGACCAGGCCTCCAACCTATGTCCCCTGGATTGGCAGGTGGATTCTTAACCACTGCACCACCAGGGAAGCCCCAAGTTTTTATATATTAGAAAAAAGAAACACTTTCATTAATTTTAACATTTTGACAAATTAAACTTTGGTTTATTTGTGGTATAATGATATAATAGAAGTTTAGTGTTGAAAGGGACTAGATTTCCATCTCTCTCATTTAATAGGAGAGACTCAGAGGGAAGGTACTGGAGGCCACATAGCTGGTTAGTGAGACCAGAACTAGAACTTCTGCCACATATCTCAATCCTCTTATGTTCTTTTCTTCTGTACCAGACTACCAGGTTATATTCAGAGAGAATTTTTTAATGGACTAACTGCAGAGATATTAGATTTAAAACTTTAAAAAAACTGTTTAAATTTAATATTAGGTAAAGTCTTTACATTTTTCCCCCATCTATGTGATTCTTATTGGATTTAATGTCATGTATAACTTTGGTCTAACTACATAAAAACAGAGTAATGAAAATAGAACTAGAGGGAAGTCACTTAGACTATTTATTCATTTATAAAATGAGGGGTTCAGATCAGAGAATCTTCATTGTTTTTCTCTTTCTCAACATTGCATTGGCACCCTTTTTCCTTTTTTGTCCCCTGCTTAATCCATAGCCCACTGACTTCGCTAATAAGTAAATACTTCCCCTAGGTTTTATCACAAAATGTTCTGTTCAGTTCTTCAAGGAGGATAACATTCTACTCTCAAACTGTTTTTCCTCTTTTTAAAAAGTTTTAAAATTGTGGTTAAATACACATAAAATTTACCATTTTAGGCATTTAAAATGTAAAGAACTCAGCAGTATTAAGTACATTCTCATCATTGTGCAACCATCACCACCATCCATCCCCAGAACTTCATCTTTCCAAACTGAAACTCCACATGTTAAACAATAACTCCCAATTCCCTGTACCCCCTGTCTTTTAAAATCTGTTTAAAATTCTATTTGTTCTCTGAAATATTTTCCAAATAGAAGTGTGGGTATATTACTTAAAGGGGGGATGGAAATTTTTTTAAAAACCTTTTGAAGCAGTGGTATACATATAAGTGCAGCTGTGGTGGGAAAGTGGGAAGTCCTGAATTTTAGCATTTGCCAATTTCCCTGGTGTATATATTTCCACCTTAGCCGAGTTTAAGCTATCAGCGTGATGTCACTGAAAATGGAGTTGGAAAGACATGCAATAGTAGCATGTGATCTATTTCCACTGTATAGATATGATAGACCTCAAGAGCATAGATAAGAGTAAAATATAGTAAAATAACTAGGAAGTTATGGTTTTTGTGTATATATTTGTTTTTAATAATTTATTTAGTTGTAAATTTAATAATTTTTAGTGATGGCTGTGTTTAACAATTGGCTTGCAAAAATTCCTAAAAATTTAGCCGGCTCCATCATGCCATTGATTGGAAGCACACTCTTTGGTATCATTTATTTATTTATTTATTTATTTATTCATTCATTCATTCATTTATTTAGCTGTGCTGGGTCTTAGTTGCAGAACGCGGGATTTTAGTTGTGGCATGCGGGATCTTGTAGTTGTGCAACGTGGGATCTAGTTCCCTGACTAGGGATTGAACATGGGCCCCCTGCACTGGGAGCGCAGAGTGTTAACCACTGGACCACCAGGGAAGCCCCTGGTATCTTATTAAAATATAAATTACTTAAGGGAAGGAACCACTTCTTTTTGGTACTATTTGGTGATTTTAGTACGTTGTGGACCCCCAGGTATTACGTGAAGCCATAGCTGAAACCACTCTCTTGAAGAGAAGACATTGTTAAATGGACTGTGGGATTATACTAGATAAATTTAAGCAGAACTAAAATATCAAGTTAAAAAACATTGGGCTTCCCTGGTGGCGCAGTGGTTGAGAGTCCGCCTGCCGATGCAGGGAACACGGGTTCGTTCCCTGGTCAGGAGGATCCCACATGCCGCGGAGTGGCTGGGTCTGTGAGCCATGGCTGCTGAGCCTGTGTGTTCGGAGCCTGTGCTCCGCAACGGGAGAGGCCACAACAGTGAGAGGCCCGCATACCGCAAACAAACAAACAAAAATATATAGGCTTGGGACTTCCCTGGTGGCACAGTGGTTAAGAATCCGCCTGCCAATGCAGGGGACATGGGTTCGATCCCTGGTCCTGGAAGATCCCACATGCCGCAGAGCAACTAAGCCCGTGTGCCACAACTACTGAGCCTGCGCTCTAGAGCTGGTGAGGCACAACTACTTAGCCTGTGTGCCAAAACTACTGAAGCCTACTGCGCCTAGAGCCGGTGCTCCAAAACAAGAGAAGCCACCGCAATGAGACACGCGCGCACCACAACGAAGAGTAGCCCCCGCTCACCACAGCTAGAGAAAGCCCACGCGCAACGAAGACCCAACACAGCCAAAAATAAATAAATTAATTAAAAAAAACAAAAACATAGGCTTAAGAATATCTGTTCCATAAACAAGGGCTCCTAGAATAGAGATTCTATTTTAAGGTAACCCTGGAGCAACAAATCCCATAATCCTAAGAATTTTGTGGTAACTTAATAAGTTTTAAAAACTTTTATTTAAAATTATGCTTTAGCATGTTATACAGGCCTTGAATTATACATAAAGCTACAGAATTGTGGTCTACTTCAATAATTAAAACAAATCAGGTCTTCAATGTGTAGAGCCTTTGCTTTATTTGATTTGTTCTACCCCATCCCCTCCCCCTACTTTCCATCCACATGTCATACAGGTTAGTGTACTTTTCTATATAAAGGAAAAGATAATTCTTGAGCATATTTTAATGTGGGAATTATGCCAACAGGAATTTCTTTATATATACACACATACATATATAGTAATTACTAATATGCTTAAAGAAGTCTAATTATTGATAGATTTAATCATGGCAGCTAATAGAACAAGTATATATGACAAATGAAATGCCTCCGTTTTTGGAAAACATTATAAACACTTTTTAAATAGAGAATTTCTAGATTTGTTTTTCTGGCTCATAGCAACTGCTTGCTGTTAGAGATGCAAATCAGATACTGATTATTGGAAAATTTTTAAAAACAAAGGCTGACTCTTCAATTTCTACTCTAGAAGTTTTTGGTTATAAAGATAGAATTTTATTAATTGCAAAGTTTTCCAATCAAATTTAGGCCAGTGATGAGAGAAATTATTAGTGATGGAAGCTTTAGTTTATCTCTTTCTGAAATTCTGTTCAATAGTGACAGCTTCTGACTTCAGAAGCATTTTAACTTCTGAGAACCATTTTTTCTTCCTCACTCTACCTTCCAAAGTAGAATCCTTGGTTTACTTTTTGTATAATAAAAATATCTGTATACTGCTTCTCATTGGATCTGAGAACTACTTTTAACAGTTTTTGTTGGTTTATACTTTTTCCATTAAGGATCCAAATTTTCAAGAAGCAATCTTTAGTCCAGAGCTTAAGTTGACAGAAAGGTCAGAAAGTCTTCTCAGCTGTGGGCTATGAACAGGAGACCTTCCCTGAGGAAATCATGTTTTGCCTTTCACAGTAAACTCAAAGGATGGTGGTTGTTTCCCTGACAAATTCAAGGTAGTACATGCTTTAAGATCTAGTAAAAGATGTAGAATTCCCCCCGATTAAGAATAATTTGTAGATTATATCACATTCAGAAATAAACCACTTTTAACACCCTGATATATATCCTTCCCAACGTTTCTCTATGTACGCACAAGTATTTTACAGCCTATGGCAGTTTTCTGCTTTTTCTCTCTTAGAAGTTTACTGCAGATCAAGGTCCCACGCTAGGACCCAGGTTAAATAAATTGGAGTTATTCGGACTGCTACTCCTGTATTAACGTAGCTTTTTTTGTGTAATTTATGACTCTTTAAGCCTTCCAGTTTTGGTCTGTGTGGCACATATTTGTAGTTCTTTGGTTAATGGGGTTGCAAATTATGTTAACAGCCGGAGTATCCCTGAAAATAAGTTTGTTCAGTGTTTTAATTTGAAACCACGTATCCTACCAGAGGTAGAAAAACTGCCTATTTGATGAGAGTGTTAGTAACCTTAGGGAATTCTTGAAGCCATTGCTAGTTCTTAATAGAGCATGGGTATTCTAGGTCAGGGGTCCCCAACCCCCTGTTAGGAACCAGGCTGCACAGTAGGTGAGCACAGTAGGAGGTGCGTGGTGGGCGAGCGAAGCTTCATCTGTGGATCCCTTGCATTACAGCCTTAACCATCCCCTATCCCCACCCCCGCCTACTCCCCCGTTCCGTGGAAAAATCATCTTCCACAAAACTGGTCCCTGTGTCAAAAAGGTTGGGGACCAATGTTCTAGATTATGGAGGTTCTGTATACTTTTCTATTTCCATATTTTCAAAATCAGTGTATATCATATTAAAATATGTGAAAATATAAAGAAAAACGAATACAGTATCATGTTTAGTAATACATCTTTTGGTTCATGAAATAATTATTTCTGCTGATCTTTAGTTCCAGAAGGCTGACTCTGATCTGGATTACATTCAGTACAGGCTGGAATATGAAATCAAGACTAATTATCCTGATTCAGCAGGCAAGGTAATCGGAAAAAGAAATGTCTTTTTAACAGAATATTTTATTAAAAGATTTTCTGATAGTATTTCTAATAGTAGTAGATTATAACAATTACATTATTAAATTTATAGAATCTTTTTTGTGTTGGAAACTTGGTCACAGAATATTGGAGAGATTATACCCATAGTCAAGGAAATTTGTGGCTCCTCTTTTTTTTTTTAACCCATAAATAAGAATTATTGAGTACAGGGGTGTAAACCACTATGGAAGCCTCTGAAATTCTGAGAGAATATAGATACCTCTAGGGCAGTGGCTAAATAAGAGGGGAGAAATCCTAGCAGTGATGATATTCTCTGAGGAAGATGATGATATACTATTAAATTCGATACATGAACTGTGATTTTTGCATAAAATTATGTACTTAGTTATTTCTAAGTTTAGGTTGATTAGAAATATTATCTGTTTATATGCCATAAATTATAACTACATGTATACACGCCTATCTATAGAGATAAAGCAGACAATTTTTAAGCATTGTCTGCTAACATTAATTTAGCACTTAAAATATTAATTTACCAGTTAAATCATTAATGTTTATCTTTTATAGCATTTGCTAGCAGACAAGAAATATCATATTTTACTGTTTCTCAAAAAATTTATACAATTAAAATTTGGGAGGAATTGAGTGGAAGTGCAAATTAAAATAACATTTTATATAAAATTGGGAAAGCATTGTGAATGTTCAGTTTTTACTGCTTTACATGAAATAATGGAATGCCAGGATTCTATGGGAGTACAGTTTTAACTGTTCTACCTCCTTAACTGACTTGACTTTTTCTTTGTCTTTTCCTCTTTTCTCTTTTACTGAAGAACAACCAACCAATTCTGGTCCAGTGGTACCACCTAATTGACTGGCCAAAGCACTCATCTGAGTCAGTATCTTTCGAGTACCATGTGGAAAACATTTCATGTGGGGCTTCCCCTTTTCTTCCACCTTCCATCTCTCATTTTAGTTACACTTCCAGTTGTTTTTCTATTCTACACCTTTTTTTTTAAAACAGCTTTATTGACCTATAATTCACATACCATGAAATTCACCCTTTTAAAGTATACAGTTCAGTGGTTTTTAGTATATTTAGTTCATTGGAATTTTTAGTAATTTAGTATATTGTACAGCCATCATCACAATAAATATTTGAATATTTTCATCACCTCAAAAAGAAACCCATACCCATTAGCTGTTTCTCCCCATTAACAACCACTTCTCCTGCCCCTGGCCAGCTCCCAACAACTACTAATCCACTTTCTGTCTCTGAAAACTCTACAGATTTGCTGTCTGAACATTTCATATAAACGGAATCATACAATATGTGGCCTTTTATGTCCGGTTTCTTTCACTTAGCATGTTTTTTTTTTTAATTGACATATAGTTGATTTACAATGTTTCAGGTGTACAGCAAAGTGATTCAGTTTTACATACACACATATATATATATTCTTTTTCAGATTCTTTTCCATTATAGGTTATTACAAGATATTGAGTATAGTTCCCTGTGCTATACAGTAGGTCGTTGTTATCTATTTTATATACAGTAGTATATATCCGTTAATCCCAAATTTCCAATTTATCCCTCCCCCGCCTCTTCCCCTTTGGTAACCATAAGTTTGTTTCCCATGACTGTGAGTCTGTTTCTGTTTTGTAAATAAGTTCATTTGTATCATTTTTTTTTTAGATTCCACATTAACTGATATCATGATATGTCTTTCTCTTTCTGACTTCACTTAGTATGATAATCTCTAGATCCATCCATGTTGCTGCAAATGGCATTATTTCATTCTATTTTATGGATGAGTAGTATTCCATTGTATACATATACCACATCTTCTTTATCCATTCATCTGTCGATGGACATTTAGGTTGCTTTCATGTCGTGGCTATTGTAAATAGTCCTGCTATGAACATTGGGGTCCATGTATCTTTTTATTTATTTATTTTTTGTGGTTCGCGGGCCTCTCACTGCCGTGGCCTCTCCCGTTGCGGAGCACAGGCTCCTGACGCGCAGGCTCAGCGGCCATGGCTCACGGGCCCAGCAGCTCCACGGCATGTGGGATCTTCCCGGACCGGTGCACGAACCCGTGTCCCCTGCATCGGCAGGCGGACTCTCAACCACTGCGCCACCAGGGAAGCCCTTTTTTTTTTTTTAAAGAAGATGTTGGGGGTAGGAGTTTATTAAT